GTGTGTTAACAATTGTTATCTCAAACTTAGTTCTTGGTTGTGGCTGAATTTAATAAGAAAACAATTGCAGCCTTAATACATCAGGAACAATCTGGATGATCCCGTTTGGTCTTAGTGGCGCCGCAAGGTCAGTACACTAATAAACCATATATGTATAACCGAAGCTCATTACCATATTAGATGTCCTTTGAAATCCGCAGCACAAGAGTGTCAAATGAGTTAGGAGCGGGGAACCCAGAGATGGCTAAGTTTGCGGTTCGTGTGATCATGAGCATTGCAATCGTAGAGAGCATACTAGTTGGATTGGTTTTGATACTCATAAGGAAGATATGGGGATTTGCTTACAGTAGTGACCCGCAAGTAGTTACATATGTTGCCTCGATGTTGCCGATTCTCGCCTTAGGCCACTGCCTAGATAGCTTCCAAAGCGTTCTTTCAGGTTAGATGATTCTTCACTCAAAACTTCTAGACGCAGTAGGTTTCTTTTCTTGCAAGGAAAGATAAACCACCCTTGCTACAAGCACCATGCATTCCGGTTTTTAGAACTCGGTTTAGTCCGGTTATGTTGTTTACTGTTTTTTGTTTTTCCGGTTAAAAGGGGTTGCTAGAGGATGTGGATGGCAGAAGATAGGAGCTTTGGTGAATCTTGGATCATATTATCTTGTTGGTGTTCCCTTTGGTTTGGTACTTGGTTTTCACTTCCACTTCGGTGGTCGGGTAAATTGATTACAACTTTTTCAAACTAAATAATTCAAAGTTAAACATATATATATATCCACTGAAAATGTTATAAATTTTAAGGGGTTTTGGCTTGGAATTATATGTGCACTCGTCGTTCAAGTTGTATGTCTTTCCCTCATCACATTTAATACAAATTGGGATGAAGAGGTAATTAAAAATCATTTTGTACTTTAGATATCGATTATTTAAAGATGGATAGTACTCCTATTTCGTAATTTTGTTGCTATGATGCATTGGGGTTTGTTGTGACTATGATTGTTATTGATTATGAGATACATGTTTACTGGTTTATTTAATTATAGGTCAAGAAAGCTACAAGCAGAGTTGAGTCTACTTCAGGTGTGAAGGATTTTGCAGCCGACAATGGGTCAATTATTGTATTCTCTGAGTGATAGCTATTGAAAAGAAAAAATGATAATATTGTGATTGAGAAACTTTATAAGTTTGGTTCATGAAATAGAAGGATAAATCTTATACCATTTTATGAGTAGTAAATTTTTTTGAAACGGAGCGTTCACGTTCACTGTAATGAAAAAATTGTTATGATCCCTTAATTATGAAATCGTATATTCACCATTGAAAAGAAGAATTAAAACACTCTTATGAGATATAAAATCGACTCGATTATAAAAAAAAGTGAAACCCTAGCGACTTTGACCTCAAGCTGTTGGCCGCGAGTAAACTACTCGATTACTGAAAGAAAGCAGAGTAATGGTGAGAATGATGTGCAGCCGAATTCTCAAATTTTCAAAACCCTACTTTTGGTGGGCGATGCAGAGCTCAAGCCGTTGCTTCAATTCGCGAGCCCATTCTCACAATCTTATCACAAAGATGATGAACACTTGGTCTCTTCGAAACGTAGTTCAAAGCAGAGCAATTTCTTCCCATGCTCATATGGCTAATGATCAATCTGTGACGATTGAGACATTTGATGCTTTGTGTGAACAATGTAAAGTAAGAGAAGCCACGGAATTTGTCGATATCTTGGAGGACAAGGAACATGTTGTTGATTTGCCAAGGCTTCTAAGGTTAGCAAAGCTATGTGGTGAAACAGAGGCTTTGGAAGAAGCTAGGGTTGTTCATGATTGTATTACTGCTTATCATTCGCCTTCAGATGTTAGTTCTTACAACACGATAATCGAAATGTATTCTGATTGTGGATCCATTGATGACGAAATGCCTGACAAGAGCTCAGAGACTTGGTGCGTGATGATGAGGTGCTTAGCGAAGAACGGAGAAGGTGAACTCGCAATCAATATGTTTACCCGCTTCAAAGCGGAAGGGAACAAACCCGATAAGGAGATATTCAAAGCGGTCTTCTTTGCATGTGCTTCACTAGGGGACATTCACGAGGGACTATTGCATTTTGAAGCTATGTACAGAGACTATGGGATCATCCCTTCCATGGAACACTATGTGAGCGTAACAGAGATGTTGGCAGCATGTGGTAATTTGGATGAAGCATTGGAGTTTGTGGGAAAAATGACAGTGGAACCGAGCGTTGAAGTTTGGGAAACAATGATGAATCTTTCTTGGGTTCATGGGGATCTAGAGCTGGGAGATAGGTTTGCCGAGTTAGTGAAGAAACTAGATGGTACAAGAATGAACAAAGAGTCAAATGCAGGTCTTGTAGCAGCCAAAGCATCAGACTCAGCGAAGGAGAAATTAAAGGAAATGATGAGAGAAGGGAGAAAAAAACCTATGCATAAGTTTCTCTAATGTTTTCCCTCACACTTGGCTTGGTTAACAACGCCTTCCCAAGCGTCTATTTATATTACAACCTCTAAGGAATATTACACAGCATATTCCTTTAGATATTCTTTACCTAACTTACACGTGATACTTATGCCACACCTAACACACTCTAACACGTTATTCCTATCTTACATTCACACGTATTCTTATTCTTTAATTTACAACCACACACGTAATATACTTTACTTTATTCCCCCGTCTTCAAAAGAGATGGGACCCATCTTACTCTTTGTCGTCTTCCTCATCGCCAGAACTGTATTCTGTCACGTAGATCTTATGGCCTGGAATGTATCTCTTGACTCTGTATTTTCTGCGTTCTACTCGATATATCGGATGGTCAGGATGAGATCTTGGCCACGCGTATTGATCATGGAAGCCCAGTAGGATTTGTCTTATTTCTTCGACGAAATCTTTCAGATAGATATTCGTGTTGTGCCATCTTGCTGTACAGGGACAGAAAAAACTAGGGTCCAGTTGAGATTCTTCGAAGTAATTGAGTGTTGCCAGACCACGTGTCCTTGCATGAAAATTGTCTCCATTAAATGCGATGTCATTGTAGCTTGTCTGGATATGAGCCTCATAAGTCTTTTGGATAATTACTCCATCTTCTGTCTGGACTTGGCTAGTGATTATTATCTTGAACGTGGCAAAGACTTCAAATCCATGCTGAGCTCGAATATTCTCATGCCACCACGTCACATCTCTGAACAGAATGAGCCACTTGTAAAGTTGCTTGTAGTGCAGTTTCTTCCTTGTCATGATGCACTTTGCCAAATACTGGAGCATGTGACACTTGTTGAATAATACTCCAATGGTGTAAAGATCCGACAAATACCAAAATAGGAGATATGCTTCTTTCGGAAAATTTTCGTAGTGAGTTGGATTCATCTCAAGGGTTGTGAGGAAAGGATATGTCGGATGGTAGGGTATTCCTAATAGTGGACCAAGGTCTAAGTCATACCTATAGATGTAGAGTCTTAGAAACCCGTGAAGAGTTTCCACTCCTCTCGAAACCAAAACAGTGTCTAGCATTTTCTCCTGTAGACCTTGTGGCATTGCTGCAATCATGCTTCTCAGAGATTCTTCTGTTGGATGTTCAGGGCTCAGGGTGTAGATTATTGGAATGATTGTTGAAATTTGTTTTTGAGTTCTGGATAAGAAATTCGGAAGGAAGTTATCTTTCCCTTTGATGTGCTTTACATCAAACTTCCATTGTAAAAACCAGCTTGCCCATCTCAATAGTTGTGCTTGTGGCAAGACCTTCTGCTTGAATTGGTTCATCTTTGGAAACGAGGACATGTCTATCTCTATGAGAAAATGTTGACCAACCAGATGAAACTCAAACTTTTCTATTCTCCGTTTAACTGCGAGTATCTCTTTGTATGTTGAGTGATAATGTCTCTCACTATCCTTGAAAACACCACTTTTATATCCACAAATGCTTCTTTTGCCCTTTTCATCTTCTTCTAACAGAACAGCTCCCCAGTAATAATCACTAGCATCAGTTTGTAAGACTCTTATCTTTAGATGGAATCTTCAATGCTGGAAGAGTTTTTGAGATTCTCTTAAGTTTTTTTACCGCTTCAGTGCATTTCTTATCCCATGGTGGAGCATTCTTCTTAAGTTGTGCTGAGAGTACTGATCTGGGTTTTGCCAAATCATGAATGAAATCCGCCATGTAATTGACAATTCCAAGGAATTGCTGCACTTGCTTAAAAGAGAGATTTTCATCTGGAAATTCGTTAAGCTGAGTTGCAATGTGAGGCTGGAGATGATACTGCCCTTTTGAAATGTGCATGCCGAAGAAATCAATTTCAGTTTCTTCAATGGCCATCTTCTTCTCAGAAAGCATGATACCATACTGTTGTATAATATCGTGAAATTTTACCAACAGCTGGGTGTGAGCGTCTATG